TAATTATATAGCACCAGATCCAGACAGTGAACTATTTTAATAATAACAACAACAATAATAATAATAACTATGGTAATAATTATAAGAATAATTAATAAGAGAGAAGGAGAGATGGTGTCTTTAGTTCAATTAGTACTGTGACATATTTATAAATCTTCCTCCTCAGAATCGGTCTCCTTCACAGCATCCTAACAGGAATTAGTACATGTACATATAATGTACTACCGTATAGCAGGAAATTTTGGAGGGAATTAAATTTGGCATTTTGATGGCATAGCCATTCACCAAAATAAAACCCACCATTTTGAGCCATTATGTGCATGCTCAATGGCAAATAGCCACAAATTTGCCAAATTAAAATCTGCCAATCACCACAATTTAGCAATTTGCCAAATTTAATTGCCTCCAAAAATTCCCGCCATACGGTATTACCTTTGCAAATTGTTCTGCTGCTGCAAAGACATCCTCAGGCACCAGCTGGTGGAATCCTTTACTTACTATTTTGAGACACGGATTACTTTATTGGATATTGATTCTTCTCCCTTACCTTCTCCTACCCAACTAAGCTCCAGTTCAAAGGCTTTGTCCTTCACTTCGTCATGGACTTTGTATATACTAAGAGAGAAAATGGAGGGAGAACATTAATATTTTACTTACATTTTAGCTGCTTCATTGATTGCTTCCCTACAAGTCAACTCTTGTAACTGTGTGTATGTAAATGCAGTTATAATGATAAGGAATAAGGTTTCATTACTTTCAATTTTTCAATTTCTGTCTTTGCTGCTTGCTTCCCTTTACCAATTGCACAACCAAAATAACCCTACCACACATACAACAGTCATAGAATAGTCTATTTTCTTCTTACCCAGTAAACTCCTGATGGATCAATCATATAAAGTCTTGGTCCTTCTGGTCCGCTGCTACCAAACATAAGGTTGAACCCAAATGGACGTACAGCACTGTAGAGAGTGTGGGCATGAACATAACCAGAGACTCTATCAATGAGATGCTGTTGGGAATAGAATTATGATATATGACAGCATATTTTAAAACTGTTCTTTGTCTCTCTTCTCTTCTATTACTCTCTTACCTCTATTGGTATTGCTTCGTTCAACATGAATCTAAAGTTGGATGCCTCATTTCTTGCTCTTCTCACAACCTTTAATTAAAAAACAACAACATGAATGGGGCTACATACAAAGAGAATTAATTGCTCAAAGAGAATGCTCCATTTTTGTTACATTTTTATATGAACTTAAGTTGCTCAAAAAGTCAGATCTTTGGCCAAATTTCGTCAAAAATGGCTAAGAAATAATTTTTCATTTTTATAATTTTTTCTGATACATATACATGTTCTTATGTTGTGTAGCAAGTTTGAGCTGATTCCGATCAAAATTAGATTTTTAAAGAATTTTTAAAGTTGCTTCAAAATCGGGTCAAAGTCCCTGTACTATTAGTAACGCGGTAGCGTTACTAAGTAGGATTCACCCCCAAACAAAATGGCTGCCACGACTTTTGCAGCCTTGCTATACTGGGAAAACGAGCTCCTATGCTTACCAGACTTTATAGAGGACCTTATCTTGACCAGAGGACTCCAATGGTACCCATAGCGTGGCTATAGACCTTTTCTGGGAGAAAAATCAAAAATCTGCAAACCGGCCGTTTTGTTCAGCCACCTTTTTTCATCTTCATTATCATCATCATCATCAAGTTAGTCCTGTCAATCCAGTTGTCGGTCGATATATCGATCTTGCCTGGTGATAGAAGGCTAATTCTTACACCATTCTACTCCCACAGGGTATGCGCAGGTCCTTGTTCCCTAGAATCATTCTCCAAGAAAGGAAGAAGTGATACTGTGACTGTTGGATCGCACCAGCTTACCTCATGCCGCCATTTTGTTAATTAAATAAAGAAGCATGTGCTCCAAAAATTTGGGCGTGGTCGCGCATGCTCAGATCTCAGAACTGGGAACAGCAAGTAATCTTTTACGTAGCTAGGCTAGCTATGCTTGGAATCAAATTGCAATACTTAGTGGAGGTTTCCAGCTAAGAGAAGGTATTAATCTTGCATATATCAAGTGTGTAATGAATTATTTTATTTCAAAAACACAAAACAATTAATTAATGTTTATAATACTAATGATAATATGAACTTGACAACAGGAAGAACCTGCAGGAATAGCTACAGGATTGCTGGAAAGATAGAGCTTCTTGAACAAGGATTCACGTCAAGACTATAGCATTCATTTCACTTGTCAGCAGTGTAGTAGATATTCCTTCATCATATCTATTCAATTCAATCAGTGCTGTCCCTCATAAATGCTGTAAAATCATAACAATGACGACAATAATAAAGAAACTTATTGTTTGTGTAAAATCAAAAAGTATCACAATTGTAACTGAAAAAATATTATAAATATTATAAAAAAATTAACACAAACAAGAACATAAAAAATTAAAAAAAACAAGA